AAGTCTTACTGATTCCTGATTGAAGCGGAAACTGGCCACTAATATCAATTCACTTGGAAGCAGAACGCACGCGCTTGAGTTAACGCGAATCGCTTTGATGATTACAGGGCTGTTTTATCTATCAATAATGATATGCCATCATGTAAAAAAGAGAGACAAAGGTCTCTGTTTAAGCTGTCCTTTTTGAGTTGTGCGCAGACGAATGGAGAGGTTAAGCCTTTTATGACGGCTGATTTTCTTAGGACAGTTTTTTAAACTTTTTTGACTGTCGTTTTGTGTTTGCACCTTCCTTTTTTCTCTTTAATAAATGCGTAACGAAAGAAAGATTAGCACTTTCACATATACAGTTAAACCTTGCTTTACGGACACCCGCTTAGTACTGACACCTCATTATTACGAACAGTCTGCTTAATCCCTTGGGAAAGGAAAGCCCTTATATGGACACTTTCTATGACCTTCTCAGTGTCCATATTTAAAGTGCTTTGACTGTACAGAGAATGCTAAATTCACGACATCAGCCTGATTGAAATCAATAAATGTTAATAAAATCTCTGATTACTTTCTACTTTTACTGTTGCTTTTGTTAACAAGCTTTGCCGATGGAGTTACTAGGAACCTTCTAACATGTACGTCAAACAATATTAGTTAATTTTAAAACAGAACACAAGAATTTAAGACCTGATTTCAATTAATTAAAGACCACTTTGATGATTTTGGTACTGAATTTGGTCAGTTGATAATCCTACGGTAACATGACCTTTCTGAGGTCTTTCCTTTGCTAATATTTCCGTGAAAACCTGATGCTCTTATATTGCTTCGCTCAAATTATTTCAAAAGTGGCGACCATGGTTCTCTCTTTCCACTCTCAAGTGTGTCTAATGTGGCTCAGTGCTGAGCAAATCTGAGCTGCTCCCATATGAAAAACAAAATGACTTTGAATACTTATTGTTACGACTGTGGCCATTTGTTTATAAATTTTTCCTTTTTTGAGTTGCTAGGGAAGTTTTACTGTTTCATCATGAAGCGGAAAAATGCACCAATATCAATTCTTGAAACCGAACTCACGGACACTTTAGCTAACGATCACTTTGATGATTTATACGGGGCTGCTTTGAATCTACCAATGTGCAATCGTGTAGAGAAGGAAGAAAAAGTTCTCTGTTTAAGCTGGCTTTTTTTATAAGCTGTTCGGAGAAGGTAGCCTTTTATATATGATCATTTGAGGAAGAGGCTGATTTTTGTCGGACATTTTTTTGTAAATATTTTGACTGTCATTGTGTGTTGGCACCTTTATTTGCCCTTTAATAAATGCGTAACGCCGGCAAGATTAGCAGTTTTTCGTCGAGAGAAAAAAATTTTGCAGAATGCTAAAATTCAAAACATGCGTGATTTAAATCGATGAAGTAAAAAATCTCTGATTACTTTCCGCTTTTACTGTTATTTCTGTTAACAAGTTTTGACGATGGAGTTCCTATAAAAGTTCTAATCAATCAGTCAACCATATCAATTGATTCTGACATAGGAAGGCTACGCCACTTTCATCATTTCGGGAATGTTTTGAATCTAGCAATGTGTTCAGTTGATAATCCTAAAATTATTTCCCTTTGAGAGGGTAGATATAGCTAAATATATCGAAACCTGCTAGTAGAAATTTTAGGCTTTAGTCAGTAGAGCTTACGCGAACTGAACTTTTTCCGCCTTTGTTTCTATAACCACTTAAGTTGTTTGTTTGCGTCATAACTTACTCACCACAAGTAGTCCTTACTTACCGGGGAAAAGAAATGCCAATTGCTAGGAGTAAAATCCAATTCAATTTCTGTATTCAAATAAACTGAAAAAGAAAATTGATCATAACTGATAAAATTGTTTCTTTAGAAACTTTGCCTGTGGAGTTGGTAGCGACAGTCTGCGTACTTTTACTGTCTCTCTCACTGAAGCGGAAACTGCCTCCACTTTAGAAAAGTAAATAACAAAATTTTATAACAGAGGGACTGACTACTGGCAAAAAAACATCTGTTTGGGCCGCTTAAAAAAACCCAGAGATTAAACGGTGTTTTAACATAAATTGGCGCCTTAATTATTTTCAACTTTGCCTAGAATGATTAGTGATGTAAGCTCAGTAAATGTTTTCTGGTGCGCTGTTATTAATTCAATACAATAAATTAGTTGTCCCGTATTGAGGGGAGCAACCATTTCTTCATCATCATTGGAGTCAAGTAAAATGCTGTCTGTTTGTAGGCAAAGAATAATTAATTGGGTCTTTGTCCGGCCAACTAGGCTTGACGCAGTTACAGCCCTCAACTCAAAACAAACCACTTATAAATAGGTTTCTAGAATACACTTATTTTTTCTACTGTTATCTAAGCCACTCACTTTGTTTAAGTAACTGACCCCTCAAGTCTTCATGCAATTTCGTCTTAGCTGATATCGACCAATTCTAATCAAAACCCTCATACAGTGATAAAATGGCACAATTACCTGAACTGAACACGTGTCTTCTTTGTAACGAAATGACAAGCAGACTCTGAAGCAAAACGTATTAAGTATTCACTGCTTTTTACTCTTCCATCAATCAAAATTAGAACGACCAATAAGAAACAATGGATTAAGATCTACCAATCATTTATCACTGTTCTGTCAATCATTGTAGCGGTTCTTTTAGAAAATGAATCTCTTTAGACTCGCTTGTTTTCGTAAGACCTTAAACCTACAGGTATTATTTCACTGGTGCCAAAAGTTTTTTCTTCTTTCATTTGGTTTTATTATTTTAATACGTTATGAGAAGTAAAAAAACAGTATGCTTAAATTTTCTTATGGATGAATTGGTAAATGGCATAAAGCAAAGCGTGCAGTGGTTTTCAGTGGTATGCAAGTAAGTACAATTATGGGTCATAAGATCCATAGCCTGAGGCTTTTGGAGTTATTCAGCTGGGCGTTTATCACGAACTCCCACGAATGAAGGTTATACAGACGGATAATGCCACTAACTATTCTTAGAAAAATTTCCTTTAGAGGCGAGAAAATCATTGAATAGATCTTTAGAAAGAGATATGGTTGCTTAAGCCGGATTTTCGCATGTTTGACTCACTTATGTCAAGGAGGGTTTTGTGAAAGAAGTCATATACAGCACTACACAAGTGCATACGAAAAAATGAAATGTAGATATGAAAACGAAAACTGTAAGTTTCAGTCTAGTTGCAATTAAGTTTCCATTTGGTCTTCAAAATTATTGAAAAAAAAGTTCTTAATACCTTTAATTGCTTTAAACTGAAGTGTTTGTTTTAATAACTTTTTCTGTTGAGTCACTAGGGAAGTACTGTTTCAGCAAAGCGGAAAGCATCAATATCAACTCAGTTCAAAGTAGAAACCAGCGCTTACGTTCAAGACCATTAATTCAAACAATGATTCCGGGGTTTTTAAAATTAATGATTTTCAGGATTGGTACCTTTGAATATTCTCCTTTGGAATGCGGTCAGAGTACAAGAAGGTGCCTGCTTTCACCATCGGTTTTGTGCTTCTCGTAGAAGTAGAGCCTCCGTGAATTTATTTTTAATAGCATTTAACAGTTACGTTGTTTGGTTTTATCGTTAACAACACGGCACGATACGGGGTAAAAAAAAAGTTGTAGAATGTTAGGGATTAAATTTTTAATTCTTACATCAATAAATTGAAAATAATATTCGGTGTTAGCTCGTTTCAGGGTCATAAACATTGCCTGTGAAGTTGCTAAGCCGGAAGTTTTACTCTCTCATTGAAGTGGCAAAGTCAAAGTTTTGAAAAACCTGAAGCGACCAACTTGTGGCGAAGACATCTCAGATCGGTTATTAAGGCAGAGCCCAGTCGGTGTTTGAAAAAATCGCATTTTTACGACAAATCGTTGATTAATTTGTTATCTGTAACAGTAGCAAGTTCATCCAGTACAGAAATGTCAAGATCGTCTAGTATTATACTCTCAATCTAAAAAATACCTTTTACGAATTGTTTTTGAAACACGGCAATGGAATCCGTGCCTTTACGTCAGTGCCGACGCTTATAGTTTGCGACTCATCCAGGTGAACTCAATTTTAGACAAAATCTTAAAAGTTCGGCTTTTGCCATGAGGTTTTAGTTGATTTTTCAGCCCGGCTATACGCTCGTCTTCCTAACCTATATTTACTGAATCTGCTTTGTAACTAGGCACGATTAGCACTTTCTCATGAGGAACAGAAATGTTGTCGATTGTTAGGGTAACTTAAATTCATTATGTATTCAAATAAACTAAGAAATAAAGTTATAAGTAAGTTGTTTCGGTTTTTTTTTTTTAGAAAATTGGCCTAAGCAATGGCTAGGGAAAGAATCTCTTTGAAACTAAGTCTAATTTTAAAATTGAAGAGACAGACTTCTGGCAGACATTTTGGGCCGGTTCTAAAAACGGAGCTTCGATGGCATGTTTGATCGTGCTCTATAATTATAAAACATTAACTTGACAACGTAATCCATTTACGGCCGCACCGGCCAAAACCGACCGTACAAGACTACACTGCTTCCTTTGAAACATTACAACTTTCTCAATCGCTCGAACATTGCCTTAACTGTCAGTTGGGTAGTTTGCATATGAAAAACATAACTCTGAATACCTTTCAGATGCTTGGTTTAAACTGTAGCCATTTATAAATTTTCCTTTTTTGAGTTGCTAGGGAAGTCTTACTGCCTCATTGAAGCGGAAACCACCAATGAATATCAATTCATTTTAAACAGAACGCACGCCTTTTAGTTAACAATCACTGTTAATATTGATGATTTATACAGGATTTGCAAGTTTCTAATTTAACGGGACATACCATTTCTTGATTTTATCACTGGAGTCAAGTAAAGTTCTATCTACTTGTAGTCAAATAATAAGTACCCTCTTCCTCGATTAAAAGACTCTGGGTATTGATCCGACCAACTGAACTTAAGTTTAAGCTTATCGTAGATGAAGCTGCTGACATAAAAGCAGGTTTCTAAGATAACCGTACACTTACTTTTTACCGTCATCTAAGTTAGAAGTTGTTTAAATAACCGACCCTTCAGTCTTAATACAATTTCGTCTTAGCTGCTATCACCAATTCCCATTTAAAGTATCATACAGTGATAAAATCGCGTACATTACCAGAACTGAAATAGGATGCAGAATGCTAAAATTCAAAACATCAGTCTGAGTCAAATCAGTTAGGTTAATAAAAAAATCTCTTATTTTACTGTTGTTTCTGTTAACAAGTTTTGTTTTCTAGGAAAGTTCTACTCTTTCAGTCAACCAATATCAATTCATTCTGACATAGAAAGACAACGTCACTTTGATCATTTCGGGAATGTTTTGAATCCAGCAATGTGATCAGTTGATAATCCTAAAATTTCCCTTTGAGAGGGTAGATATAACTAGATATATCGAAACCTGCTAGTAGAAATTTTAGGCTTTAGTACAGCTTACGCAAACTGAACATTTTCCGCCTTTGTTTTTATGACCACTTAAGTTGTTTGTTTGCATCATAAGTTACTCGGCACAAGTAGCCCGTATTCTTCGGGGGAAAATGTTGTCCGAAGTTAAGAGTAAAATTAAATTAAATTTCCGTATTCAAATAAAATGAAAAAAGAAAATCGGTTGTAACTAAATTGTTTCTTTAGGAACTTTGCCTATGGAATTTCTGGAGTAGTTTTTCTGATTCTCGCTAAGCGGAAACCACTCCTTTAGAAAAGTAAAGAGTGTTTTAAAACACAGGGCTGACTATTGGCAAAAACATCTATTTGGCTCGGTTTTAAAAACAGAGCTTAAATGGTGTTTTAAAATAAAATGGCGATCTAAATTATTTTTTGCTTTGCGATGCGTGCCGTACCCTGATTAGTTGTGTAAGCTAAATTTTGTCTCGTGCACAAGAGTATAAACTCACTACATTAGTTTACCGTCCCGTATTGACGGAATCAGCTATTTGTTCATTATCATTGGAGTCAAGTGAAGTTCTATCTGTTTGTAGGCAAAAAATTGGTACCCTCTTCCACAGTCTTCCTCACTGCGCACTGCGCATGGTCCGGCCAACTGGGCTAACTCTTAGCTTGTCGTTCAGAGCCGTCAACTAAAAATAAGCCACTTATAAACAGGTGTCTAAGAAATTCCGCACTTATTATTATTATTATCTAATTTATAATTTGTTTAAATAACCGACCCCTAGAATGGTCAAGCAATTTCGTCTTATCATCAATTCCCATCGAAACCCTCATACAGTGATAAAATTGAGTACATTACATGAACTGAACACTTATCTTCTTTGTAGCAGAATGATAAGCAGACTCCGAAGCAAAACATTTTAGGTATTCACTTTTTACTCTTCTGTCAATCACAATTAGAACGACCAGTAGGATCAACCAATAAGAAGAAAGTGGATTGAAATCTACCAATCATGTATCACTGTGCTGTCGATCATTGTTCGTATCGCCGGTTCATTGTATTATCATTGTATCGAGTGCCCAGCCACTCAGTGCGATTAGCTTTTGCTATTTCTGAGTGGCTGTGCTCTCTTTTTTCACAATTATTTTCTTTTAATGTCTTAACATTTTTTGTATTAAAAGCACAATAAAGATAGTTGTTGTTGTTGTTGTTGTTCTTGTCGAAAATGAATCTTTTTAGACTAGTTTGTTAGATAAGCCATTAACCCTACAGGGTTTAATTGACTGCTCCCGAAAAGCTGTGAATACTTATTTCCCTATTTCATTTGGTTTTATAAATGAATTTTAATTATGGCTGAACTGAACTGAACTGAACTGAACTGAACTGATTAATGACATAATGCAAAGCGTAAAACTTTATAGCACGCATTTAGGTCCAATTATGGGTCATAGGTTCCGTAGCCTGAGGCTTCTGAGGCTTTTGGATCTATTCAGCTGCGCTTTTATCACGAATTCTGAAGAATGAAGCTTACACCGACGGATTATGCCATAAAAATTCGTATAAAAATGTTTAAATTTTCCTTTACAGGCGAGGAAACTTTGAAAAAATCTTTAGAAAGGGATATGTTTGGTTGAGCTGGATGTGAGCTTTGCGATAGAAAGCATGTATACACAAGTGCATGATGTAACAGGTCTTTAAACAGATGAATAATAATTGTTAGCATTACTGAATGAATGCTACTACCGTAGCACTTTGTACGATCTATCGAGTGTTTTTTTACCTGTATTTTGGCTGGATAATTGCTAATTTAAAAACAGACCGGTCTGAACTTTGCTGAGAAATTCAAGCCTTTTCCCGAGCAGGAAAAAACTGGTCTTAGCCAATCGCAAATAAGATTATAAGTGTTAAGACTAAAAATTAAATGTAATTTTGTCTTTAAATGAACCGGAAAATACTTCTGAATACTTTCGGTTTTTTAAAACGATAAAAACGATAAGACGTTAAAACGATAAAACGATAGTGTTTGTTTATAAACTTTGTCTGTTGAGTTACTAGGAAAGTTTTACTGTATCAGCGACTTAGCGGAAAGCAACAATATC